TCAGTCTGGAAACGCAGACATTTTATTCTCGTTGTCACATTTAGTCAATACACACAGCATGACCGTGTCCTCTCTCTGGGTCTGCAGGCGGCTGCCCTGTCACATCAGTGATGTGTTCAAGTTCTGCTGGACTCTGTTTGTCTACACTAAAGGTACCCACAACTAAGCTTGAAAGGACACTTTACATTTTCGAATAACTGATTTCACAAATAATTATGTGCTAAATTTTTTTTCTCCGTTTTAGTTTCTTTAAATACAGCTACTAAAATAATTATTATTCATTACAGCCGTGATATATGATGTAACTGTGTGTTTCTGTTTGTGAAGGGAACTTCCGTATGATTGGGGATGACCTGGTGAACTCGTACCACCTGCTTCTCTGCTGTCTGGACTTGGTGTTTGGAAATGCTCTGCTCTGTGCCAACAGGAAAGACCTCATCAACCCGACGTTCAGAGGTGGGGGACCTGTGTGGTTGTCTCAAAGCGTTTTTAGACTAATTGCAAGACCGATTTTTAAAACTTTCAGTTATGTGTTATCTTTTCCAGAATGCATTCCCAGAAAGCTCTACATTGAATTACTCCTGAGGTTTTTGTTTCCTAAACAGCTGATCATTGTTTACACTTTTACAGCTGTGATCAGAAATGTTACATCAGGGCGATTAATCACAACATGACAAATTCCTTTTATATGATCAGTGTTTTACGTTTGTACAGTGAGACACTGATTAGCTTCTCGGGAAATTCAGTTTGGGGAATAAACTCTGAGCAGCTGAGGATCACAAAATCTAAAATCAGGTTTTATCAAGCAGAAAACGTAATCTTAGGATCGAGTAGCTCAGAGTTTTCACTAAACCTGCTTTTTGGAACAGGCTGTTGTTGCTCCAGTACCCTCACAGTACATTGGTTCATTTGTGTGTCTGTGTGCAGGTCTGCCTGCTGCGTACCGTGCTGATGGACATATTTCCTCTGATGAGCCTCCTCCATGTGTGTTGGAGAGATTGTGCGAGCTCCACGACGGGCTGGTGGTGGAGGCGAAAGGCATCAAGCAGCACTACTTCAAACCTTACATACAGAAGCTGTTTCAGAAACAGGTGCATTCGATTTATCCTAAACATATGCATACATGTGTTTAATCATTACAGTTCTTTTCCAGCTTTTTTCATTATTTATTTTTTTATTTTTTTCAAGCAGTAATTTTGTTTCCCTCCAATCTGCTGCTACCTCACATTTCTCACCAATCAGATCCTGAAAGGTCACGATGAGCTTTTGACTGAACTCTTGGATCCTCAGAACTTCATCGATAACAAGTGAGCAACAAGAGAACAGAAAACAGCTTGTGCTCTTCCCTCTTCTTTCTGTTTTAGAAATGTAGATCCATTTGTGTGTGTTTGCAGTAAAGCCATAAACAGGGAGTATGAGGAGTATGTGCTGACGGTGGGAGACTTCGATGAGCGAGTGTTTCTGGGAGCCGATGCCGACGAGGAGATCGGAACTCCAAGGAAGATCGTTCAGGAGCCACCTGCCAGCCAACAGCTGCAGCAACACGTGGAGAAGGTAAACACACACACACACACCATTAACAACACACACTGAAGGTATAGTCACCAACAAAAGATTTGAAACACCTGCCAGAAAATACCAGGTCACCAGTAAATCAAACAAAAGACTGAGAAGAAAAAGTGATTTTCGATTTAAATAATCGAGGTTTTCATAATAAAGTGCGAGGTGAATGCAAAATCCATTTGATAAAGTTTGTATTAAAGCAACAATTATTGACCAATGTTAGTAAATTAGTAAGAAAATAAAAGAAATAACAGGAAAACCATTGCTTTTACTTTTAATGTAGTTTAAATAAATAATAAATGAACTATTTTGTCTTTAAGGACGGATTTAAAAGCAGCCAATAAAAGAGTAGATCTGATATGAAGCAGCAATCTAAAGCTCAACTACAAAAAGTGTAAAAAGTGTGATCCTTCTTTGATTCAAACCTGGATCAGCGAACTCAATAAAAAGTCACAGAGATGGAAAAAAAACATTGTGGTGTTACTTCAAGGAAATTTACTCTCTCCCTCTCTCTATGCAGTCTGCCTCTCTCGCCCCCTCCACCCCTCTGACCGGACGAGTGTACCTGAAGGAGAAGGACCTGCTCGTCACTCCCGTCTCCTCGGCGACACAGAGTGTCAGCAGGCTGCAGAGCATGGTGGCTGGTTTAAGGACGGCCCCCAGTGACCATCTGATGCAGATCTTCAAGTCAGTCTTTTTTTTTTTTTTTTTTTTTTTGTCTTTGCAGAACTACAGCACCAGTGAAAGGGTGTCCAAACTTCAGACTCGTACTGTACTGTACTTATCTTGAGCATGAAAATAGTGAAAGGAATATATTTAAATTAGAGGAGAAAGACTGTATACTGTAGATTTAACAGTGTGGGTAAAGAGTAGAGGAAAAAGGAGAAAAAGTGATTCAATCATGATCATTAGTCTGTGATTTTATGAGTAAAATTGTTTGACTCAGTCATTTTTAGTTTTTCTGTCAGGGTGTTTTGAGCAGGACTCTTTGATCCCCACCTCCTCTTGTCTGTAGAGTCTTTGAACCTTGTGGTGGGAGGGGTCAGAGCAATGTGGGGCATGTGCATGTAGTAGGAGTTTCTTAAATTGTTTATGAAATGCTACCATATGTAAGTTTCACCAGCATCCTGTTCCTACTCTACCATTTTGGACTCCAGTTGCTAGCTAATGAACTCAGTGTAGCAGGAAATGAACGGTTTGTTTTGGTGTGATTGTGCTAGTAGGATTAGGATATCTGTTATCAGCTGCAGTGTAAGACACTGAAGCTGCGGTCCATTGTACTACACAATGAAAAGTGTCATTACTCAGCTGAATGATACTGTAGATCACTACAACATCACCCTGATTAGCCTGCTGGTAGGGAAATGTAAGATGAGAAAATCCTCATCTTGAAAAGCTTGAATTCTCAGACAGATTTAAAAAAATGCTAATATTTATTATTGTTATTGTTATTATTATTATTAGTAGTAGTAGTAATATTATTATTAAGTATTTAATATTTAGTGGTAATTCATGTATCATTTAAGAGAAGTAAAAAAAACAATAAGAGTTTGAATATTAGTTAAATGGACTGTAAGCATTCAGTTACCATGGATCTATTTTCATATATTTCTGAATCAATAAAAATCCTCTGAACATTTCTTTTGAGTCACAGTTACATCCTCCAGTAGATGAAAGCACGAGACATAACCAAGAATAACACAAGAGTTTACAGAAACAAATGTTTCATAAGACGCATGATCCTGAAACCAGTATCACTCAGTCCCTTTGTGGTGTTTTCTATACTCAGTAATGTAAAAACATTTGTTTTGCCTTTGTTCTTATTGAAGGTCCTGCTCCAGAGACCCCACAGAGTCCATACTGACCCGAGTGAAGACACTGGGACAAACCTTCAAAGAACATTACACCAACGACTCGGAGGACACGCCTGGCTCTCATATAGGTAGAACACAGACGGTGGTTTGAGGAGAGGTGTCTTCAGTTTTTAACAGACGAGAGGTTTTTGGTGATGACTAATGGAATCTCGCTGTTGTGCACTTTTCTACTCCGATCACTGAATCATTTTTCTGCAGTATGAATTAAAATAGTATTAATTAAACTATGCTGGCTGTCAGACTCACCAAAATCCCTGTAAAGCATAAATGCATGTGTGTCTTTTGTTCCAGACTTTGCAGAGAACCGTCTAAAGCTGGCTGAGATCCTCTACTACAAGATCCTGGAGAACGTCATGGTCCAGGAGACCAGACGGCTGCCTGGCAGAGACATGAGCGTAAGCAGCAGTCAGAGCGTGTTTCATACAATAATGAGCCACTCGCACACCACAAGTCATTTTTACTATCCTACCTCAACGTAGATTGTTCTCCACACAACACTGACATCATTCCTCATCTGATGAGGCCTGTATGTATCTCTATCTCTAATTATACCTGTGGGTATAATTAAATATAAATTTATGTTGCATAGTAGCATCAGACTCAGTGTTTCTCACTCATATGTCAGTCACAAAAACGATTATGCAGTTGTCAACTACTGGATGAGATGCACGGATCGAAGACGCAGCTAATTTATATCGAGCACCCCCAAAACCCGGGCAGCAAGCCAGACTGTAGTGAAAACACAGAAGAATGCTAACACAGATGTCTGTAGAGTCTCTGGCTCAAGTTTAAAGGTGTGTTTGTGTTGTCAGGTTTTGCTGGAGCAGGATATCTTCCACTGTTCCCTGATGGCGTGCTGTCTGGAGGTGGTGCTGTTCGCCTACAGCTCCCAGAGGACCTTTCCTTGGATCATCAGTGTCTTCAAACAGGTTCCTTTCTACTTCTTTAAGGTAATAGACGCTTAGAGCACACGCGCACACACACACACACAACCGTTGCTGAATAAAGGGTTAAAAAAAAATATCTAGACCACTAAAATCAATTTCCATCTGTGTTGCATCTGCTTAAAGTCATTAAACCAGATGCAGTACAGATGTTTAAATGAACAGCTCCTGTTTCCGGATTGATGAGTAAATAAAACTTGTCCTCTCCCCAAGCAGTTTGGGGTTTTTCACCACTCTGGATTGATTTAGTGTGTTTGTGTGCACAGGTGATCGAGGTGTTTATCCGCTCCGAGGAGGGCCTGTCCAGAGACATGGTGAAACATCTGAACTCCATCGAGGAGCAGGTTCTGGAGTGCAGGGCGTGGACCACAGACTCTGCCCTGTGGAGCGCCTTGCAGGCTGCAGGGAACAAGGTTCCCACAGTGGAGGAGGTCAGAG